GAAAAAACAACGATAGGCACCGCCCGCGCCCACAGTTGGGCACCCCGCAAAGAACAGCGACAATCCAAAAACGAAGGCCACACCGATAAAAGCGTAAGCCGCACCATCACATACTCGCCGCCTCCCGAAGAAACACCCACATGCACCCGCACGGAGAGTCCGCAGTGTGGGACACCTCCCGCAGAAATCAAACAACTAAACAAATTCATGAACACCTCGCTTACCGTCTCCCCCGCCCAGCCCCTTCAAACCCCGCCAGCAGCAACACGCAGTGCGCATCCCGGCGGGACCTCCCATCACGGCCCCCACAAACTCCCCAACGCCACCTCCACTTCCCTCAGCGCACTGCAGCAGGAGTGGGGCGCAGCATTAAAAAATAAAATTAAAAAACGTTGGAAACTAAAATAACAACAATAAAAAACGGCAGACGTCCGTCACCATCCGCTCCAAGCGATACTCGGCACCAAAAGAAAAAAAACACCACAATACACACGCAGCGGATGCCTTTCACTCTGCAGGCTCTCCGTGCATCCTCCAAGCACACATTGCCATAACATCTCTCTCATCACGGCCGTACATGATGATTCGGCGGGCGCCCATGTCCTCCTCCCTGCCCCTGCAGCGAGTTTCGTTTGGGGACGACACGGCAAGCATGCCCCACCCAGTGGGAGGCATCTTGGTGGGCAACGCCTTCCTCCACCCCATCACATCGCAGATAATATACCCCCTCACCTGCATGGAGACCTCCAAATAAACTCTTCATCGCCGGAGTCGAACATCCGAGGGAAAACACCGTCTTGGTGGTCTTGTCAAACAGAAACGCTCGCTCCCCAATGAAGCACGCCACCGCGTGGAGCTGCTCGGCGTCATAGTGCAGCAGCTGGTAGAGAAGGCACGAACAAGCATCCACCGACTTCCCGATCCCGGGCATCCCGATCAAGACACGCAGCACAGACGCCGAGTTCGCCCCGCCGTGCGTGCCAAACAGCCAGGCCAGATCGCCCTCAACGATCAGGCACACCTGCTCCACCTCAGAGTACACACAGCAGTCAGAACCACATCCTTGCAGCAGTGCGTACAGCCACTTCTCGGAGGTGAGCACCACCGGTCTGGGACGTGGTGGGCGGAACCACACTGCACCGTCATCCATGAGAACAGTCGCCCCCTCCACCTTTTAATCCCACGGCTGTGGCGGACTGCCTTCCCTCAGCTCCATCCTCATCCCTCCTCGCCCGTCCGAAACTTCCATGACGTGACCCCACCCCGCATGGCAGACATCCTCGTAGTGTCCCTCCAACTTCTCCAACGTGAAACTCACCACAGGCACCTCCGCCGCAGCGAGGGCTGTACACAGCTCCCTCCATGAAGGAGGAGCGGCGTCAGCGACGGCTCCTTGCGCCACCACCGCAGCGCCACGACAGACGCTGATGTGCGCAGTCAAATAATTAACCAGCCGTCGCAGCAACCACGCGGCAGCTGCGCACCTTTTTTTCACCTTCTTTTGGATTCAGTCTCTCACCCAGCAGTAGGCATCACGCAGTCCGACGCCCAACGCAGACGCATCTTTCCGCGCTCGTTCCAAGCTCCCAAAAAATCTCCGTGTCGCGCCGCCCAAGATTCTCCCAGTGCTGGCCGCCTCGCCCTCTCTGAGGAGTGGTCTACGGCGCGTTCACTGACGGGCCACGCAGCGGTCACCAAAAAAGGATGGGAAAATAAAACACGCGCACGCTTCGCATGAGCAGCCCCGGCGGAATCGTTCCCTGGCAGCCGCAGCAGCAGAAAACGGCCTCTCATTTTGGGGTCTGGCTGGGGGAAACGAGGCGGCGCGGGAAAATGCGTTGGGTGGCCCTACCAAAAATGCAGGCCGCCACTCCTCCTCCCACCCACACAGACAGACAGTCAGACGGCACTGCCAGCAGCTGTGAGTTATCAAAAGCCAAAAGGAGGGCACAACATGCGAAGGCGCACACCCCGAAGCATTGGCCGTACCCCACTCCCACTCCCACGAAACAGGAGTACCCCCCAGCAGAACCATTCTTCACTGAGGCGCAGCATCCAGTCAAGCACGAAAGCAACAAGAACGAAGAGGTGAGGCAACAGTCGATGACTTCAGACTCTCCCATAAGCGTAAAAAAAAAAATCCCCTCGACACCAGACCATCTACCACGCACGGCGAACCCAACGCAGCAACAGACGGCTACACACCCCCGTTTTCTCCATGGCGTGTGAGTGATGGTGAAAAGGTGGAGGCGCGGCTGGCATCTTGCGGTGTCCCTCAAAAAACCTAATCTTTTCCCGGCCCACCCTTAGCGACTCCTGCGCATACGCAAAGCAATACAACAGGGAAAACGACGATCCACAGCACACTCACCACACGCTGCAAACCACAATGCACGACCCAGCCATTCCTTCAGAACGCCCCAAAAAAAAAAAAAGAAATCACAACAAACATAAAAACACTAAACACAAACCCCGTAAAGTGAAGCCGAAGCGTGGGGCGTTCACCGAGAAGTGGGACGACCAGCACACACACATGCTCTTCTTCTTCACTTTGAGCACAGTCCAGGAAGAAAGAATGATATCTCTCACCAAAAACAAATAATTGGAAACCAAAACCACTTCCATTTCTTTCGCAGAAGTGGTGGAAGTACAAAGCGGGAGTTGCAGTTACGTTAAAAAAGGTGCGCCGAAGCGCAATTTATGTGTGTGGGTACGTTGCATTATGACCGTGTTATACATCTTGAATGCGTGGTTCCATAGTCCACGGATACATATATATATATATACACATATATGCACATTATTATCCCACCACACATTTTTTGGGCCCAGTCACTGCTGCTGCTCAGAGAGGCGTCATCACCACGGCGGCGGCCACGACGAGAACCGCAAGGGAACCGAGACCAACAGCAACAACTGAAGTGTCACCGAGTCCGGATTGTTTCCCTCCACGATTCCCGTTGCCTCCAATGCTGCTTTTCCCGGACGGGTTCGGAGTAACCTCACCACGCATGCCGGTTGGGTTGCGCTCCTGGCTGGTACTGCGCGATTGATACGTTGAGGGCGAGGCACTGGACTCATCACGCATGCTGGTTGGGTTGCGCTCCTGGCTGGTACTGCGCGATTGATCCGTTGAGGGCGAGGCACTGGACTCATCACGCATGCCGGTTGGGTTGCGCTCCTGGCTGGTACTGCGCGATTGATCCGTTGAGGG